CCTCAGCTCTTCAGCTCAAGGCTAGCACTCTACCACTTGAGCCACAGCGCCACTTCCAGCTTTTTTCTTTTTGCTTATGTGGTGCTAAGGAATTGAACCCAGGGCCTCTTGCATGCAAGGCAAGCGCTCTACCACTGAGCCACCTTCCCAGCCCCCATTTTTTAGTCTTTAAGGGGAAAGAAAGGATTATTATTATTAGTAGTAGTAGTAGTACTATGTAGTACTGGGGTTCAAAATTGGAGCCTTGTACTTGCTTGACTAGTGCTCTTCTCCTTGAACCGTGCATGCCTCCAGTCCTTTTATGCTTTTTTTTTCGGGTATGGTTTTGCCTCCAGATGACCTCAGACTGTGATTCTCCTACCTATGCCTCTCACACAAGCTGAGACCACAGACATACATGCTAGGTCTAGCTTGTTTGTTGAGATGAGATCTTACTACCTTTTTGCCTGGGCTGGCCTGTTCTAGGCTAAGATGCTGAGGTCACATATGAGCCACCAAATGGTCTAAGATAGCTTTCTAATTATGCCTTTTATAATCCCCTGGCTTTCTAATTTCTGGGTAATTCTTTCCTAATTGACATTTAGTCAGTCATACCTCAACTGCCACTAACTTATATTTCCTGGAAGGTCTTGTTGCTTTCATTGTGACTTTGTCAAAGCACAGGTCAAAGTGTAGTTAGCTAGCTCTTTCAGGGCCTTGAAACAGGATTATTATAGGATTAAATTATCATGTAGCTATTTGCTAATAGTTTTGTTTCTAGTGTAAAATATACCCAAATTTCTGTCATCCTATTTTTTATTTATAAGTTTTTTATTGTGAAAATACTGTACAGAGGAGGTACAGTTACATGAGCAAGGTAATGAGTACGTTTCTTATCAAGCATTGTTGCCTCTTCCTTTGTTTTTTCCCTACCATCCCTTCCCTCCCACTTGCACAATTACATTCCCCCCAATTTGTAATCTAAACAGTTACGTAGAATAATTATGCTTGAAAGTAAGGTGTGAACCTGCAATCCTTCACATAGCAGGAGAGCAGCTTCCTGTGGCTGAAGTAGCTCAGTGTCAGTCAGAGAAACAAGTACCATGTCAGCCATGGTGGGTGTGGGTTTCCTGGACTTGTTCCTGGTGACTGCCTGGGTGGCCATAGCTGAGAGATGCTTGGTGCAGTGTCTCCTTTTCTTGTCTTAGAGCCATGCAGTTTTCCTGTAGCTTCAGTGTTGAGATGCGTGGTAGTTTGGATGGCAGTTGATCCTATAGCTTTGCTGTAGGGATGTGTTGTTTGGATATTTTCCTGTGGCTTTATTGTAGAAATGCACAATAATTTGGATATTCTCTTGTAGAGAGAGCACCCTAGCAAATGAGTGTTTTTATGAAACATTTCCATGTGAAGCATATAATCCTTACACATACTAAAATCAAGTTCAAGTGCATTGCTGCTCTGATGTCATTGTATACAAAGAGTACTATTTTGCCTGCAGGCCCTTAAATGAAAATGTAATACTTTTGTGTAATACAAACTGTCCTATATTGACAGTTTTTGTGCAGTATAGGCTGTTCCTCACCTTCTGGGTGTGAATACTGCAGCCACTGGTTCCTTGGTATGAACACCACAAGCCATTGGATCACTCTAGTCCCCTCATTCCTGAAACTTTCACCTTTGGATTTTAGCCTGTCAGCACAGATGAATCTCACAAACTTAAAAATGTTTGGAGCCAGGCTCAGTGGCTCACATCATTTTAGCAAAGATCAGGAAGACTGAAGTTCAAGGCCAACCTAGATAAGAAGGTTGCAGCACCTCATCTCAACTAATACTGGGGGTCCAGAGATGCATGCCTATTATCCCAGCTATGGCAAGAATTATAAATAAGAGGGTTGTGACCCAGGATGGCGTAGTTCTAAAAGCAAGGCACTCCCAAAAAATAACCAGAGCAAGAAAAGGGCTGGGATATGATTCAAGGGTTCGAGTGCTTGCCTAACAGACATGAAGCCATGAGCTCAAGACAAAGTTCCCTCAAAAAAAAATTGCTTGTAAGAGAGCCTTATGTGTAATTGACCTGAAATCACAAATTGTTGGTGATGTTCACATCCTTTATTCTGGGAAAAATTTAGTGACATCCCTTACTCTGAGCAAAATATCCTGCCCTTAAAATAAAGCTTATGCTTTAGTGAGGTTCTGGATAGTTATAATCTTAGGAACATGGCCCTATGAAGTTTGGACTGTACGGATCAGTTCTCATCAGTTTTTGTCTTTTTTTTTTAAACATTTCTTCTTTTATTACAGATCCAGAGGAAGCAATTTATGATGATGTTCCAAGGGAAAATTCAGATTCTGAACCAGGTTTGCTCTCACTTGGCATTGTCTGTCAGGAGACAAAGTGTGGCAGTTTTTCCTTCTACACACAGAGAGCCCAGTGTATAGTGATGATCCCTGCCTGCCGAGCGCCCAGTGTGTGTGTGTGTGGTCCCTTTGTGCAGAGCGCCCAGTGTATACGCATGATCTCTGTGTGCAGAGCGCTCAGTGTGTACACATGGTCCCTGGGTGCAGAGCACCCTGTGTGTACACGTAATCCTTGCATACAGTGTGCCCAGTGTGTGCACATGGTCCCCGGATGCGGAGTGCCAAGTGTTCTTGCGTGGTCCTTAGATGCAGAGCTCTTTGTGTGTCCATGTGGTCCCTGCATGTAGAGTGCCCATTGTGTTCACAGGATCCATGCTTGTAGAGTGCCCAGTGTGGTCCCTGTGTGCAGAGCATCCAGTTTATACACGTAGTTCCTGGGTACAGAGTACCCAGTGTGTACACATGGTCCTTGGTTTAGCATGCATGTTTCCATCTGCACTGATGTGATGTGGTACAAGGTTTGTGCGTGTGAATTATATAACACTTGAAGCAGAAAGAGGGAAAGAGGGCAATGAGAATGAAGAGGTAAGAAATAGTGAGGCTGCTGGGCGCTGGTGGCTCATGCCTGTAATCCTAGTTACTCAAGAGGTTGATATCTGAGGATTGTGGCTTAAATCCAGCCCAGGCAGGAAAGTTGCAGAACTCTTATCTCCAATCACCACCAGAAAACTGGATATGGTGCTCTAACTCAAAGTGGTAGAGTGCTAGCCTTGAGCAAAAGAGCTCAGGTCCTGAGTTCAAGTCCCACAGCTGACAGAAAAAAGTAAATAAGAGGCTGAGAAGTACCAACTTAAGTCTATAAATTATATAAATAAATATTAAATAAATATAAATTACATAAATAGAAATGTATGCAGAATCAGGTAAGATACCAGTCAAAGAGTTACTAAAATTAAAGGAAGACATAAATTCTCAGGTTAAAGAAACAAACTCAAAGCTGGATTTGTTAAGCATCAGTCCAGACCCACATGAGGGTAACTGGAGCTGCAGAGTACCATGTCCACATGAACTTCTTAAGAGCAGTAAGAAAGAAAACGGGAAAAACTACTCAGAAGCTATGGGAGAGAGGCAGACTTCCCTGATTGGCTGTGTTCTCAGAATGAGAAGGAAGATGCTACCTCAGCCCAGGTTTTTATATTCAGGACTCTATGTGAGTACATTCCTTTAAAAGGGGGAAAGACAAGCCTGGTCTGGTGGTGTGCACCTGTAACGTTGGCACTCAGGAGGCTGAACCAAAAGAATTGAGTTCATGGCCATAGTGAGACCCTGAATCAAAACATAAAAAGAAAAAAAAAACTAGCAGGCAGAGATTGGATCATTTACCTTTGTAGGCTTTGAAAAAGCATTTGATACTATATACTCCAAGAAGCAGTGGAAGCAAGAAAGCGAAGTAGGCCTCCCATGCGAAGGCTGGGTTTGCTGTGACGGGCTGACCCAGGCCCTCTCCACGCGCTAAGTCCACACTTTGACGAAGTGGTGGAAGTTGATTTATTGTTCTTTTATGGTTTTGTTTGGCTGTGACAGGTTTTTGATAGGAGAATAGAAATATTTAACTTTGAAACCAATAGAGCAAAACCCAACTGGTCCAAAGCTAGAAAATATAAATTAAGAGAGAATGGCAAATACTATGGGAAGGAACTTCCACATAAGTCTCTAAAATACATTGATCCCAATAGTAAATGTAAATTGGATCCAACTGACAATAAAAGAAATTCTCAGATTGCAAAACTAGTCATATAATACATTCTTTTCTGTTGTTGGTAGTGGTAGTCATGGGGCTTGAACTTTGGTCCTGGGCACTGTCCCTGAGCTCTTTTGCTCAAGGCTAGTGCTCCACCACTTTGAGCCACAGTGCCACTTTTTTTCTGGTTTCTATTTAGAAATGAGTCTCACAGACGTTCTGCCTGGGCTGGCTTTGAACCGCATCCTCAGATCTTAGCCTCTTAGTAGCTAGGAATAGAGGCATGGGCCACTGGTGTCCAGCTATATATTATGCAAGGACAGAAAAATTGGTTAATTGGGTGAAAAAGAAATATAAGGCTATATTGTAGCCAATATAGCTGTAATAATAATAGGTGTTAAGCTACAGAGCATTATTGGTATAGTTAAGGAGTAATTGATGAGGGGAAGACAAAAATGTTGTACACACACTTTCAGGGAGAATGAGCTTTATTTGTGCTAGTACTTCATAAGCTCTCCTGTCTGTTTAGAGAGCATCCATCCATCAGTCATCATCCTACCATCCCTCTATCATCTATTTATTATCCAGCCACGTCTAGCAACCTGTCTGCTATCTATCCATTATCTGTCTGTGTAACCTTTATGATACTGTATTCACTTATATAAAGAAAGATTTTCCTTTATGGAAAGTGTACTATTGCTCACACATTATTTGGCATAAATTTGGTGGATTCTATGACCAGTGTTCTTAATCTGTGTTGGGGCTGAGGCTTGCTGGACTCTGATGAGCTTCTTCAGAACCACACATCACTGCCCATGTTGGGAGGAGGTGGATGGTTTCCTAAGCAACGAGTGCTTTTCCAAGGAGCATGCCTGTGTGCTGGCCACATCGTTCCCTTGAATTACTTTGAGATTCTTCTGCTCCTCTATGGTAAGGCAAAACAAGAAGCAAGCTAGTGAACTGTGTGTTTTCATTTTCATTTTATCTTGGTATTTGTGCATTTAGATGAAATGATTTATGATGACGTGGAGAATGGAGATGACGGTGGAAACAGTTCTTTGGAATACGGATGGAGTTCAAGTGAATTTGAAAGCTATGAAGAACAAAGTGACTCAGAGTGTAAGAATGGAATTCCCAGGTCTTTCCTGCGTGGCAGCCACAAAAAGCAAGTATGTGTTCAGTTTTTGCATACAGAAGACAAGTGCTCTGTTAACTTGGTAATGGGACAGCAAAGTGTCATTTTGATTTTCACAGTTCTTAAAGTTTTTAAGACATTTACAGAGTCTGAAATATGTAACATATTTACAAAGGAAAGGGTGTCTCTTATTTCACATAGTCTAATCATGGAAGATTAGGAGGGTAGATTCTTGTTACCCAAATCACTTAGAAGGCCATAAGTAGACTCCTTCTCAGACAACATCAGAAGACAGGTGACCACTCCAAATTCTGAGGAGCATGTGCAGTTACTGTTCTCTGAACATGCTGAGCAAGGAACAGGTTCTTCACACATTGTCCTGAACTTGAGCTCTGTGCAGGAGCAGGAAGGTGGGAAATTAGGAAGGCTTGAGAAATGATGTTCAAGCGCACCAATCCTCCACCACCCCAGGATTGTCTTTTCCTTCAGGGAACTTATCTCTTGCTTTGGTGGAAAACTTCTGAGATCAGGATCGAGTGAGGAAGGCAGAGCCTTGAAGGGTGAATTCTGGTCTGGGTGGTGTGGGACTGACCGGGTGCCGTCTCACTGGGGTAGGTCATGCAGGGAGTCCTCCAGGCCAGGCATTCTGTTGGTGGGTTTCTTCTGTGGGTCCTCCCATGAGTGTTCATAGCTGTCTTCCACTGTGTACAGGGCGATCGCTTGGTCCTTGCGTGTGGACTCTCAGCAGTGACTGTGATCGGCATATGGTCCTTGTCTGAGATGCCCGTCAGAGCCAATGTTTCTCACTGATATCTGACTATCGCCAGTTTTCCCTACCTCCCTGCTAGCAGTCCTCAGGGACCGGAGATGCTTGACCTAGTTTCCATGTTACTGTAGTGGACAACATGTTACAGGTTGCTTAGAATTTTTGTAATCTTTAAAGTCATTTTATGACACTCAAGAAGCAGCTCCCAGTTCACAATGGTCAGTGCAGTGTCTCAGTCTTACAAATGGGCTTTTTCTGGAATGTAGATTTTTGTATATGTGTACTACTACTGGGGCTTGAACTTTGGGCATTATTTGTTTTTTTTTCACTCTTAGGTGGCATGGTACCACTTAAGCCACACTTCTTGCTTTGCTGGTTAATTGAAAGTAAGAGTCTTTCAAGTTAGTCTGTCTGGGCTGGCTTTGAATTATGATCCTCAGATCTCAGCCTTCTGTGTAGCTAGGATAACAGATATGAGCCACATGTACCTGACTGGATTGTATATCTTTTCTGGGTTTTAACTAGAGCCTTAGTGAGCAGAGCTAGCTGGCTAGTGTGGTTGTCCTGACACGCTGAGGCCCCTAAGGAGTTGCATCTGCATGGAGCATTTAGGGCTGGTAGGTATTGTGTTGAGATAGCCCATCCTCAGGATTGAGGATGGCCCCTCCCATGCCAGGCTATGGGCAGTTTTTCTGCTCTCCTTGTCCTCACAGTGGACCTGTATACCCATCAGGGTCAGACCTCCAAAATGCCAGTGACAATGTCATATGCCTCAACAGCCACTCCCTACTGGGAAAAGCCTGAGAACAGCCAGCAGGAAGTGGTACGTCAATGTGCCTGGAGCCAGAGTCTTCTGCCAGGATAGATCAGATGCATACATGGTGGGGCACATACAGAGTGGAGATGTGAACAGGTTAGGCTGTTAGTAAATGCTGTTTAGAATGCTCCTGTTGTGCTATGTGAAAAATGCTCCCAGGGGGATGGTGGGTTTGGTTATGCACAGCGGAGACAGAGGTAGCTGTGGAAAGATGGCCCAGGAAACCTCAGCTAGGCAGTCACTAAGAGAGAGTGTCCTGAAGAGCTGAGGGACAGCACCCAGGCCCAGAGTTCAAACTCCACTACTGACAAAAACAAAAACGAGGGAGTGTCACATCACTCAGCTGCCTGTCATTGAGAGAAGGTGTCATATCACTTAGCTGCTTTTCATTAGGAGAGGGTGTCAAACTCTGCTGCCTGTCCTTAGAGGAGGGTGTTGGGTCACTCAGATGCATGTCATTAGGAGGGAGTGTCCCATCACTCAGCCAGCCTGTCATTAGGAGAGGATGTTGAGTCACTCAGGCAGCCTGTCATTAGGACAGGGTGTTGCATCAGTTTGGACATTAGCTTTCCCTAAAGAAGCTGCACTCCTGAATATAGTTGTCTTCTCTAAGATGCTGACATAAGAATATCAAGTGTGTTTTGTGTCTTTGAAATCCTGATCTCATCCAGATGGCACAGAATGATCTTACACAGATGTTTCTGGCTGTTTATTTTCTTGGCCTTGGCCCGTAGGAGCCTTCGGCTGCATGCATTTGCCTTGGATTGAGGGGGTTGGCCATCGGTGCTGAATTGCCAGGGCCTCAAGAACCCAGCCAGGAGGGCCGCTGTCATTCATGGAAGACTGCCTCTTGGTACCCAGAAGAGCGTGTTTTGAAACGCTTTTGTCTCTTTGTACCTTAGCTCTCTCATGACCTAACCCGCTTAAAGGCGCACTGTGAGGAAAAGATGAGAGGCTTGATGGCCAGCACGGTGGGAGCCGTGGAGGCGCGGAGGCCAAGGCGAAGGAGGGAGCGGAAGGTAGTGTTCAAATGCCTGCACACAGCAGGCCACTCAGAACAGTGGCAGGTGGCTCTGTTGGTCACTTGTGCTGGAACAGTGGCAGCCAGGGATCCTGGGGCCACCTAGATGCTTTAGGAGTTCATATGGACTCTGAGCCAGTCATTTCCTTTTTCCAGAAGCTGGTGGTTTGTCACAATCTGTGGAGTGCAGAGCCCCCACTGTGTCAGAGAGCTCTAAAAGTGCACAACAGCAGCATTAGTCAATAATTTTTCATAAATATGTTATTTAAGATAATGTAATTATCTTTTAAATGAATACTGATTAAAATTTTGAAAAATTGCTGTTTTAACTGAGAAATTATATATTAATATAATTGTTTAATAAACTAGATCAGTAAAACTGATCTAAGCTAATACTCAGGGGTCCAGTGATTTGTAAGAGATAGGACTTGTGCTTGGCATGCATCAGACCTGGGTGACCATAGCAACTAATATGATTTTTAAGACTACAGAGGACTCCTAGGCTAAAATGTTTAAGAACTGCTGGATCTGACTGTTGTGATCATCAGTTTTGGAGGTGTGTATTTAAAAGGTTTAAAGCACATTTAAGAAGGTTTCACCTCATTCTGGTCTGCCTGTCCCTTGGTATGAGGTAACTTTGAGTTTTCCTGAGAGCTGTTGGCCCTCTGTGGCAGGGATCATGCCCTACAAGAGGCCAGCTCACTCCAGCCTGGAGATGTGCAGCTGGCAGCCGGCGACAGGGCCAAGGAGGCTTGGCCATAGGTGAGAGCAGGAGGAAAGGCAGACTGGGTTAAGGACTGGGCTAGACAGCCTTCATCAGCATGAGGCCTAGGTTGGTCTTCTGCCTCATCTGTTGGCATCATGTGGAGGCAGGGCTCTGGGGCCCTGAGTCTGCAGCCCTCTGGTTTTCACAGCCTCACATGGTCTGCAGTCCTCTGATTGTCCTGGCCTTACATGCATCTGCTGTGCTCTGGTTTTCACGGCCTCACATGGTCTGCAGTCCTCTGATTGTCATGGCCTTACATGCATCTGCTGTGCTCTGGTTTTCACGGCCTCACATGAGTCTGCCGTCCTCTGATTGTCATGGCCTCATATGGAGGCGGGACTTGGGGCCTGAGTCTGCAGTCCTCTGGTTGTCACAAGGTCAGATGGGGCCAGGTGTAGCTGCCCAGATCTGGGGTTAGAATACAGTCAAACTTGGAAGATGTCAGGTAGGAAATGAACTGGATACCTGGTCACAAGAAAAAGCAGGAGTTGGAACCAGAGGCCTTGTGGTGGAATGCTTGGTGGTAAAAGTAGCTCTGCTGCTTTTGATGTTGAGGGAGAGAATGTCCAAGACATGGATGCTGGAGTTGGAGTAAAAGCTTTAATTCTGGTTCTTTTGAGAAGGTGGTGTGTAGGCACTGGGACAGAAGGACAGAAGGAATGGTCAGGGCTGTAGGGAGGAATGTCTGCCATAGTCTGAAACCCCCTAAAGCAAGCAGCTAGGGTGTCCCTCCTAGGTGAGGAGGCCTACGCTGGGAGCCCGTATGTGTCAGGGTGTGCTCCTTGAGTTCCACAGGGGAGGACACCGCTGTCTCTTAATAGACTATTTGGATTTTCTTGGAAAGAAAATCTGTCAACTGGCCAACACCTCAGAGGTCAGGTTTTTAAGGATAAGAAATACAATGTTGGTATGTGCTGTCTGAAGCTCTCCAGTGCCACACACTTGTGAGTGTCCAGCTGAAAGGCAGCATGGTCAGTGAGCTCCCAGCTGGTGAGATGTGGTCGTTGTGGCGTATATCTAAGGAATGGCAATAGCTGGCTGCATCTCACCTGTATCTGTGTGTTCTTTTTTTTTGGGGGGGTGTCCAGTTGTGGGGCCTGAACTCTGAGCCTGGGTGCTGTCCCTCAGCTCTTCAGCTCAAGGATAGCACTCTACCACTTGAGCCACAGCGCCACTTCCAGCTTTTTTCCTTTTGCTTATGTGGTGCTGAGGAATCGAACCCAGGGCCTCAGGCATGCAAGCAAGCGCTCTACCACTGAGCCACCTTCCCAGCCCCTATCTGTGTGCTCTTTAGCCACTTGAGTCATCTTGCCATTCAGCCCTTGTGTTCTGGGCTGGCTCTGGTGATCATTGGTACTATTCAGCTGGTCATAACTGTGCCTGGACATTGTCAGCATGGGGAGGGGCCAATAGAGAACACTTAGAGCTCTGTCAGTGCCACAACTCTATGATTAGCCACTTTGCTATGTGACGTTGTGCACTTGATGCCAGTTGCCCTACAAAACTCTTTCGTATTTGTGGTTATGATAAAGACCTCAAAATGTAACAGAAAACTTTATTAAAACAAAATGAAAACAAAAATAGCCATGCATAAAATAATCATGAAAGCCTCCTACATCTAAAAGCCCATTTCAAGTAATGTTTTAAGCTCAAACTACTTGACAGTATTCTTTTAAAATGAATAGATTTGAAACAAGTAGAAACTTACTGAACACACTTCTCACTTGCTTCCCTCTGTTTTATAGATGCAAAAGCTAATGAAGGCAGCCAAGGAGGGCACCAGAGATGGGCTTGAGAAAACCAAAGCTGCTGTGAAGAGAGGCCGCTCATTCATCAGGACCAAGTCTTTCATTCCTCAAGGTCTGCGTGCATTCACATGTGACATGAGCCTCATTTGTGGTGGCTCCTGGTGGGATGGTGGCACGGAAGGTTCTCACGGTGGTGGGGGGGGGGCCCACCCTGCTGGCCTGGGTTTCTGGGCAGTCACTGTTTTAGGCTAAGGACCCCCAAGTAGCTGAGAGAATCACTGGCAGATATATAAAGGGACATGCACAGCGTAAATGGAAAATTAAAGGAGTTCCCATAGGCAGCTGGCCTCTTCCTGCTGTCTCCACTTGGCAGAAGATGGACAGTATCCCAGCTTCATCCTTGGGCCCTACCCTGGTCAGCATGGGGCTCATAGCCATTTCGCCCACCTTAAACCAGGCCTGTGGGTGACACTGACTGTGTGTTCTCTGTATCGTTCTCTGTATTATTACCCTGCCAGGACTAGGGTCCTAAGCCAGGGGGTCTTCATCTAAACAGAAGTTTTAGAAATCTTTTCATGGGCAGGAAGGGTCTATAGTGGGAGAAGGATATTCAAGCTTTCCTAAATTTCACTAAGAGATGGTAGACTTATGCAGCTCAGGTATAAGAAACTGCAGATAGTAGATGTTGTCAACAAGCTGTAGATGCAGTGTCAGTTAAAGCTGGAGGAAGTCTGTTGGATCTCCTTGTACCTCCGTATTAGCACCCAGTTGTGAAGACTGCGGGTGATAATTGTAGCTCCACCTTGTATCTGCAGAAGCCTTCCTTCTTCCTTGTTTCTGATGTGCATGTCATTGTCTGTACATGATAAAATACATTACAATCCTGGGCTTATGCAGGGTATGGCCTGGGAACACTATATGTCATGGGAGCTAAAACCAACCTGGCCCCTTTAAGCTGATAACATCCTCAGCATTGGAGGGAGCTCTTGGGCCCCAGAGCATTTCCTTGGTGAGGGAGACAGAAGCATGCTTTCTAATGTTGCATGGAATAAAACCTTTGTCTTAGTTGAGGTAGGCCCTACATGAGAACAGCTGGAACCTGGAGCCACATTCTATGGGTCCCTAGCTCACAGTAAAGTCTTCCTCTAGCCATAGTACCACTGGAAGGGTCCTAGACTCTGGGAGCCAGCCAGAAATGCCCACTGTGATCCCTTACCCCAGTCCTCAACTGGGACCCACTGCTGACAAGGCCTCTAGGCTGAGTATAGCCATGAGAGATGGGCAGGGTTTATTGCTGGTTTGAATGGCCTATGTGGTCACCTGGAGATGTATAACAGCCTGACACATAAGTCCCTAAACCACCTCCACCTCCACTCCTAGTGCTGTAAAATGAATGGCTCAGCCAAGGCTGGTGCTCTGGATTCTAGATGTCCCAGAATTACCTGGAAACCACTGTCAAAGTACCATTAGTCCAGGACCACTCTCTAGGCAAAGACTCTGGACACTTAGGATTTTACAGCACTATGGTTCATGACTACGCCTTCAGTGTTTGGGAGCTTTGACTTGGCAAAGCTCTGGTTTGTTACCTGAGAATTAACTTCTTTGGGTTTTGGAGAATTCTGCTTTTTATATTTCCAATGAGAGGCAAAGTCAAATGTATGAGATCCCATCTCAGTTTTCTCCAGTTGTTATTTATTTATTTAAATTGTGAAAATACCATATAGAGGGGTTACAATTACATGGGCAAGATAATGAGTACATTTCTTATCAAGCATTGTAGCCTCCTCCTTTGTTTCCCCTTTCCATCCCTTCCCATCCCCCCTTTCCCCCCTACCAAAATTGTAAAGTTCGTTTTTCGTCATAATGACTTGTACATCTTACCTATTCCTAGCTGAATTCTTTGTTTTTGGTGGTGGTGGTATGCAGGGTAAGAAACAGAATATTCATTTTTCTTTTACCATCTGGCAACCCAGTGATATTTCTGCCTTTTGATGTTATATTTGAAGATTTTGCCATATTTACTTTGTAGGAAGGTGTTTTATTGTTTGTTAAGATTTCTATTTAATAATAGCTGATCAGAGAATAAACTTGTACAATTACAGTTTCTGCACAAAAAGATTTATTTGGCAACTGTTTTGGTGAGTGGTAATGCTGTAAATATAGAGTATCAAAAGTGAAACTTGTCTATTTTGGCTTTTTTTCCTTTAAGATCACAAATCTTATCTTGAAGAAGAGCAAAATTTGTTTATAGAGGTTGACTGTAAGCACCCAGAGGCTATCCTGACTCCAATGCCCGAGGGCTTGTCTCAGCAGCAGGTATGGTAAACAGCTAACATTCAGGTGCCAGTTAGCATAGTTAGTTTTAAAACACTTGGAGGTTTTCTTGCTGTTCCTAAATATATGTTAGCTCAAACTCCATCCACAAGATCACTGCTCTCTGCCCATGGTTTACCAATTAAAAAGTTATTCATAGGCACAGTGGAGATGATTTTAGCTTAGGCCTTTCTTGTCCTTAGTATTTTCTTTTTCTTTTTTCTTTTTTTTTGTTGGTTGTGGGACTTGTGACTCAGTAGCCTTAGAGTAGTGTCTGGGAACTGAATTTTGGGGAAATAATATCTAGATTTGGGCATGGGATGTGGAGGTCATTTTAAAGTAAAAATTCTGTGCTCAGGCTACTACTGAGATCCAGCCAAGGTCAGGTAAATAACGCTCAGGAGTTGTGGCTTCCTGGGTTCCGGGCCTGAAGTTTACTAACTCCATCAAAACTTGTATTTTTTTTCCTGTACCATTTCTGGGGCTTGAACTCCGGGCCTGTGTGCTGTCCCTGGGCAATTTTTCAGTCAAGACTAGTTCTGCTCCACTTCCAGTTTTCTGTTAGCTAATTGGAGATAAGTCTCCTGGGTTTTCCTGCCCAGGCTGACTTCCAACTGTGATCCTCTGATCTCAGCCCCCTGAGTAGCTAGTAATACAAGAGTGAGCTTCTTTGATCCAGAGCTTCCCGTCTGGCTTTTTCTGAATAGTTTATTGGCGATAAGAGTCTCATGCTTTCCTACCCGGGCTTTCCTCCCGACTGGGATCCTGAGTAGCCAGGATTACAAGTGTGAGCTACACTAGCACCTGGCTACACACTTGTGTTTTTAAAAAGACATCATCCTTTGGGTATCTGCCCAGGGTTTATTTTTGTCAAAGTTTTGTGAATTGAATATTTGGTCCTTTTAGTAAAAGCAATAAAATTCCCTAGTGTTTTATGAGTATTAGTTTCTGAGTTATCTATTTAACTGTTTCCTCTGTGGAAAACACTCTTTGCCACTAGATGGCATTACAGGGTCTTTAAATAGTATCACTTACCAAGTCATAGCCTGCCTATAAGTGTTGTGTGTGTACATTTGCCTATCTGCATATTTGTGGTATGGTAAGGGCATGCTGTTTTGTATGCATGTATGTATACATATATACATACGTATGTATGAGCTGGTTTAGGAGAAGTTGTTGCAGTATTATGTTTTATTTTCCATTTATTGACAGATGTTTTTGCTATCTTAGAGCCACAAGTTGTTTTGTTTGTTGTACATCTCATGGGGCTTGAACTCAGGGCCTAGATGGTGTTCTTGAGCTTCTTTGCTCAAGGTTAGCTCTGTACCACTTGCCCCACAGTGCCACTTCTGGCATTTTGGTGGTTAATTGGAGATAATAGTCTCAAAGACTTTGTCTGCTTGGGCTGGCTTCAAACTTTTATCCCAGATATCAGCCTCTTGAGTAGCTAGGATTACAGGCAGGAGCCACTGGCGCTCAGCTTCACAAGTTTATTCTATTTTTTTTTATTGTAAAGATACTTACAGAGGGGTTACAGATACACGAATAAGGTAATGAGTACATTTCCTATGGAGCATTGTTACCTTCTCCTTTGTTTTTCCCCTGCTGTCCCTTCCTTCCCCACCTCCCAACACCTCCCTCCCCACCCAAAGTTGTAAAGTTCATTTTCAACATAGTGTCTTATACATCCCATTACACATTTATTCTTTATGTACTTCGGTAACAACAAAATCAGAGTGTTTTAAATGCAGCATCTCGAGTGGGGTTTTGTACCTTTAAAAGTTCACCCTTGCATTCTGAGCTTGGTGGGTGGAACTTTAAAAGTTTACCACTTCATTCTGAGCTTTGTTGGTGGAACTTTGCATGGATATGCACAACAAGGTCATCAAATCTATTCATCCACCTTTGATGAACTTTCTGTTTTCCTGTAACAGTAAACGGAAAAAGTATCACTAATAGCTTTCTTTGATCAAGATTAGAACTGTTTCCTTGGATTTCATTTATACATGAAATATCATCTGACTTGTGCACATAAAATATGATTGGTTAGGGCTGAGAAGATGGCTCAGTGGTAGAGAGCTTGCCTTGCATGCCTGAGGCCCTGGGTTCGATTCCTCAGCACCACATAAGCAAAATGAAAAAAGCCGGAAGTGGCGCTGTGGCTCAAGTGGTAGAGTGCTAGCCTTGAGCTGAAGAGCTGAGGGACAGCGCCCAGGCCCAGAGTTCAGGCCCCACAACCGGACCCCAAAAAAAATATGATTGGTTAATTTCATTCATGATTGTATAAATGAATTATCTTAGTGCTATAATTTTATTTATTCTGATATACTTTGCAGTTTGAGGTTTAACAATAATGTAATTGTATTAGTGAGAGAAGTATGTTTTGAACCTATACGTCAGTTAATTCACATACCACTTAAAACATTTTCCAGGCCTTTGGAGGTTTCCTACCTTTTTTTTTTTTTTTTGGCAGTGCTGGGATTTGAATCCAGGGCCTTACTCTTTGAAGACACGTGCTGTACATTCTCACCCCCATCTTCTGGAGATTTCCTTTATCTACTGTTTGAAAACTGTTTGGTCAGGTTTCAATGTAGAGGCTAGATCAAAGTAATGTTTAACTATTCTCTCTATAAATTTCCAACAGGTCGTAAGAAGGTATATACTGGGTTCAGTCGTGGAAAGTGAAAAGAACTACGTGGATGCTCTTAGGAGGATTTTAGAGGTATCTAAATATATTACATATACTTCCAGCTGTCCTTTTTCATATTTATGTTTTATTATATATTCTGTATGCATATTTTGTGACTATAAAATGCACAATTGTGAAAAATTCCCAAAGCAATGTAAGTGCTATGCCTGTATATTGACATCAAAAGTCATATTATTTATTTTGAAATGAATATAATTAGGTAAATGGATACTTAATCTTTCATCCCTCTGACATGGCTGGACTGTCTCACTTGTTTCTGGCTCAGCAATATGAGAAACCGCTGTCTGAGACAGAGCCTCGTATTCTGAGTGAGAGGAAGCTGAAGATGGTGTTCTACCGTGTCAAGGAGATCCTGCAGTGCCACTCCATGTTCCAGATTGCCCTTGCCAGCCGTGTATCTGAGTGGGATGCTGTGGAAACAATTGGTGACGTGTTTGTAGCTTCGGTAATCTGGCTGACCCTTGAACCTCCGTCGTCGGCTCAGCGTGACACAAGCCCTTTGTCCTCTTGCCAGCCACTGTTTCTTTTGTGGGTAGACGGTGACTTCACATGGGGTCAGAGTTGCTTCCCAGAGCACCCGCATACCTACCCACCTGCAGTTCTGAGCTAATGTGGGTTTTCTTGCCTGAACTCTCAGGGAAGGACCAGGGGAGCTTTCCAGGGGACCACCGGCCACACATGGGGGCTCAGAACAAGTGATGTATCAGAAAGATTTAAAAGCAGGTGCTCTGTGTCCCGGATGCACCATTCTATAACTTATTAATACCTTTTGTTTTGAACATTGAGCCCTGTCCTCCTGACCCAGTTTCCCTTTCTGTTGGTAGCATCTGTGTTTAGGCACGGTGGGAAAATGTCTGGATGTTTTCCTCAGGCTTGTACTCTTTGACATGCAATTTTTTATTGTGTGACCCAGGCATACAATGTTTCCCCAGCTTGCTCATGTTTCCTGGTAGCAGAAGTGGCTGCCTGGAAACCCTGAGTCCGAAGTACCTGTGAGTCATTTCTGTTCTGCTTCATGCAGATTTTCCCTTTGGATAGATACCTGTTTCAGTGTAGAAGATTATGATGAAGCAGATTTGTTGTGTAATTATTTAAGGTCAACCTAAAGGATATAGGCTTAAAAGTTTTTTTTTTAAATAAAAGGCTCATGTAATTGAATGAATACTATTTAATGACATAAGAAAACACTTCTTTGTTTATTGGCATATTTATTTAGAGACAGGATCTTACTGTGTGGCCCATACTGGCCTCAATCTTGAGATCCTCCTGTGTAACCCTCCAAAGTGCTGTGATTACAGGAGTCAGCTACCATATCTGCCTGAATTTTTTTCTACATAACTTGCATAGTATTTGTTGGAGTGGAGCATATGAATGAATGGCAGGAGGCTCTGAAGCTAATGTGGTACCAAAGTTCTTGCTAAATATTTACATAATATATCTGACAGGTCCTTAGGAAAACAAAAGAGCTATTTATTTTGTTTACACATTTTTTTCCTGTTTTATATGTTAACTTCACATTGTTGACCTTGGGAATGTCTTAAAATGGAACTATGAAACTTAAGGTGCGTGCATGCCCTGGTTGGCAGCATCATATAGGGCTCTGCTATGCATGCTGTGATGGTGCTCAGGGACACACAGCTCCTCCACGGGTGAGCAAGGCCTCGCATGTGCTCAGGAGCACATGTTCCTGCCTCTGGAAACTTGATGCTTTTAGGAATGCAGAGCAATAAACACACATGCCCTGGACCTCAACCTGGCAAGCACTATTGGCCCCTTGCTCTGCCTGTCCAGAGATAGTGATGCTGGTGTCTCTAGGTATTGGGCTGCCCATGTAATGATCATTTTTGCACCTGGAGGCTGCATCTACCAGGAGAAGCTTGGCAGGAACTAAAAAGGTTTCAGGTCATCATTACCTTTGTGGGTAGTTAAGTATCTTTCTTAACTGGAGCCTAAGTTAGCAGTTTTAACCAGGACTCCTGAAAGTTCATTTGGATCTTTAAAGTGAGATTCAGCCATCCTAGAACACATTTCATTAACTTTGTGGGCAGAAAGAGCCACCCGTGCCACACAGGGTCACAGGCCGGAATGATACTTCTAGGGCAGATTCTGGTCTCCTGTTTTAGATTAGGGAAGGTAGCATTTGGACTCACACCATTTCTCCATCTCATTGTTTCAGTTTTCCAAATCCATGGTGCTGGATGCATATAGCGAGTATGTGAATAATTTCAGCACGGCCGTGTCCATCCTCAAGAAAACATGTGCCACTAAGCCTGCTTTTCTTGAATTTTTAAAGGTAATTACATTATTTTTTTTCATTTAACATTTTCTGGAAACCAATTCCATGACAAAGTACCTAATACTGAAACTTGACCAAACTTTGCTAAATTAATGGTGTTACTTCTAATAACAACGGAGCACCGATAGAATCTAGGTACTGGCATAAGCTGGAAATGAAGATGAATTTTAGTTTTTGAAAGTAACCTTTATTTGCTTATCATTTTTAAATTGCTAGAAAGTGAGATCAGACCCAAATAACCTTCCCTGCCCCTTATCCTGGATTCTGAGCGTCAGAGTAATTGGCAAGGCTTGGGAAAGCAGACCCCCTAGGGGGAGCGAGCCTGGCTGATCTCTGGCTTTGCAGCATTACAACCATTCCCCTGCTGGATGTTGGTGTGGGGGCACACCTCAACCAGGACTGCACACAGGAGGGTTGCTGCATATTGTTCCCATTGAACCTGCCCTTCAAGGCTCTGCATCCCAGCTCAGTCTCATTTGTATTATAAAACCTTGTGGCAGTGTTGTATTCTTGTTACTTAGACCATGTTCCTGGGAACTTCTGCTACCTGGGGTGAATTAACACAGGGCTAGCATTCCTGCCAACAGTGAGTTTTATTTAAGCTGGAGTCTTCCCTCCCTCTCTCCTATTGAGCATAATGGTACCTGCTGTTCCTTGGCGATGAAATCTCCATCTCAGCACTCTTGAGCACTTGCAGTACACTTTATCCTTTTGCTGCCACAACATCTCTGTCTAGGGAGAAGAAAACCATGACTGAATTCAAATTTTGTTCTGAACTTGCTGAGCATGATGGAGTCCACAGCTTCCTCAGATCAGCTTCCATGATAGAGGTAGCCTTGGCTTGCTGCAGGTGTAGTCCAGCTATGCTATTGCCTTTTGCAGTGCCTTTGGCCATGCCCCAGGTGATGCTTTAGGTTGTCAGTGGTCTAGGCCAGGGATGAGCCTGGTCCTACAAGGCTTGGGTAGCTAGGGTAACCTATGGGGGCAGAAGGACCTTCTGCAGCAGTGCAGGGGCCAGCCTTCCTGGGGGTAGACTGGCTGACACAGATACTCAGGGACACATGGGAGTCTGCCTTGCTCAGAGCAGGCTAGGATGAGATGTGGTCCTCCTCAGGCCAAGTGTTCAGGTAGAAGGTATTTTCCAGAAACTCTCCAGTGCTTTCTTCTTGGTGAATCTAAAGACAGGGTGTGGGTCCTGAGCAGTAGTCTCTGGTGTCCTTATCCTGTGTGTGGTGACAACATAGCTTGGCTTGGCTGTGACCTGAAGTGACTGAGTATGCTTTCCCACAGCAGAGTCAGGAGTGCAGCCCCGACCGTGCCACTCTCTACAGCCTGATGATGAAGCCCATTCAGCGATTTCCCCAGATCATCCTCCTGCTCCAGGTGTGTCTGCCCAGCGGCCTCAATCAGGCCCTGCCACCACTTCATTGTGTGTCAGGAGGGCACTGAGGTGGGCGTGTGTCAGGAGGGCACCGAGGTGGGCGTGTGTCAGGAGGGCACCGAGGTGGGCGTGTGTCAGGAGGACAGTGAGGTGGGCGTGTGTCAGGAGGACAGTGAGGTGGGCGTGTGTCAGGAGGACAGTGAGGTGGGCGTGTG